TATGAGGTTAGTCAGACATAGATATTTGACCTGCAAACAATTCAAAGACCTGCAGAATATGGCATTTAAATGTTTCAATATTAGTACTCCATTGATTTGAGACACAATTGCTCCTGACAGCACTAAGCTATTCTCGAGAGTATGTTGGATGCTGATGACACTCCATATGGAGTTCATTTTCTCCTCAGCTACTGGCCTCTTGGGCAAAGAACTGCCCCCATCTCAACTGCTGACCTTAGACATACTGTCCTAACTGAGCTTACAGGAAAAAAGCTGCCTTCCCCTGCCAAGTCAGGGTAAAACAGTTTTTTTTTTTTTTAATTTCCCTGCTTCTGAGATGGTCCATCTGAAACTTTAGGCCTTAGCCGAAGTTGGTCTTAGCTTGAACCTTTGGAAGTTGCATGCTTGCACGTTCTGCCTACCCTAGTATTTTTAATTTCCTTCTCAGGTCTTTGATAAGATTGAAGACTAGACAGCTAGAGCAATATCCTCTTTTATCTTAGATTTAGACTTTCCAGATTAGGACTGCTATCAGAGTCATGCCTTTGTCATGCCTTTACTCTGATATTGGACATGAATACTGGACATGTAACATATATCTATTGCTCAGTGTTGCTCTTCATGATAGTAAGTTTAATTTGTGTATGTTTATTTTTCATTGCTCAGTGTTGCTCTTCATGATAGTAAGTTTAATTTGTGTATGTTTACTTTTCCCTTTTCCTGGAATATACTTAACATTTGTTATCATTGTATATAGTTTTTGCATCAGGCTTAAAACCTTCTTCTTTAGACTAAAAGGGGAATTGTAGGTGTCTTGTCAGTGAATTTGTAGCAGTGACCACACCTCCTTGGGCATAACCTCAGGCAAATGGAAGCAGAAAGAGGGAAGCTTTAGGCATGGCTTTCCTTGGCAAGCTTCTTTTTGGTGGGTCATCGGACCCAGTAGGAAAAGCAGGGAAATGCTCCAGAGGTTCTTTGTATTTTTTCTGCATAATTGTTGCCCAATAAACACCCATTTATCATTTATCTTGGGTCTAGTCATATAATTACATACTCGCCGTCACTTGTTCCTCTTTTCCATGTCAGATCAAATGGGTTAGCATTTACTTTTGGTTAATGGCTTTTCTAGTTTCTGAGTGCCTATGGATACCCCACAGATGATGGAGGTACCTGTGCCCTGGTAGAAAAGACCCTTAAATATTGTCTCCAAAATTCCTGTCAGTGTGCCTTCTGTTTCCTGCAGGTCCTGGCTGAGAAGAGAGTGAAGAAACTGAGAGCTGGCTGACAAACATTCAGAAGAGACTGTGCCCTCCCAGGAAGCTTAGTAAGAAATCCCGCCTATCCAGAGTGATCTTCCTGGGAAGCATCTCCTTTAGAAGTGGCCACATAAGGTACACTAACCATATCTGGATGATAATGAGCTATTGTATTTCTCCACAGTCCCAGTGGACAGTAAACTCTAGGACACAGAAGGGCTATAATGCCCATGAAATCAACTTTAAACAGACTTAGAAATAATATTTTCATGAGCTGTGAGGCTCCATAATAATTGTAAATCATGTATTACCTTTTTTTCTTCTCCCCTCATCTGAAAGTTCCATGGCCTATCAAGTACATAGTTTTAGCAATTTCAATGGTGCCTGAATAATTCTATATGGCCTTTGTTTGTTTTGAATGACCAATAACCCAAACTATCCAGGTTCTAACATCAACCACACCTCTCCAGGGTAGAGGCAGCCAAAGATGGAATCCTGGCATCAGCCAAGAGGAGCAGACAGACTGGAGGTCAACAGTTGATAGAAGCTGAACTACTGCACTCCAGTTGGATGATCAAATACATTGACTGATGGACACTATAATAAAACAGAAAATAGATGAGGGCATTAATGTCTCTGTGTGTACATGTGCTCAGCTTAAGGTACCACACTTGGAGAAACCAATCATACATTGGACTACAGAGGAGATCATAGTAAATTTCAGATGTCAGCAATCAATGCCAGAGGTTAGTGTGGCCTCTACAGCACAAAGGTTGACACAAAAATTTATGAAGCATCTTATGTTTCTGTGAAATGTTACCAGCTACAGAGGAAACCCCACCCAGTGGTCCTATTCTGGACATTTACCTGCTGCCCAAAAGGAAGTTGATTAGGAACCAAACCTGAGAAGCATCCCAAGTAGAGAGTGAGAAAAAAACTCAGTTTTTGTGGCATCTCCTAGGTGGCCAGCCACAATATCTCCTTACTAGCCACCATCTGTCAAAGACTCATTGGGGTAAATGATGAATGCAAGCTTCCTACTTTCTATGAGAAGCCTTGGCCCAGGAAGTAGTCGCTGATGTTCCAGGTGAGAAATGGAAGGGTTTTGTGGTCAGAATCTGATGGGACATGTCCTTCTGTATGCTGTGAATATGTTTCTCTTGTTGGTTGATGAATAAGGCTGTTTGGGACAATGAGCGGGCAGGAAATCCAAAGAGGGATAGAGAAAGGTAGTAGGCAGAGTCAGGGAGACACCATGTAGCTACCGAGAAAACAAGAGACCCAGGCATCACCGGTAAGCCAAGACCACATGGAGATACACAGATTAATAGAAATGGGTTAATAATTAAGAGAAGGCTAGCTAATAAGAAGCCTGAGCCATTAGAAAACAGTTTATAATTAATATAAGCTTCTGTATGTTTATTTGGGACTAAACGGCTGCTGGACCCTGTGAGACAGAAATCTCCATCTACAGGAATCAATTATAGGAATGACAAATAAGTTTTTCCCATGAAGCAAGATGTCTTGAGCCATGGCCTACTGTGCTTGCTATTGAGTAAGACACCAAGGAAAACTGCTGAGAAAGAAAAAGTGAGAATATATTTGAGGATGCACTAAGACTGCCAATCTGAATGCTGCCAGTCAACTTAGTTGCTGAAAAAAAAGAAAAGGAGAGCATAGTCCTGGACTGACAGACACTACTGTGCCTCAGCAGTTGGAGCCCAGAAGAGCTAGCAAAATTGAAAGTTTTTCAGTCTCTAAAGAAGCTGATGTAGCCCTATATGCCATCAGAAAGCCCCTTGAACAGAAAGTAAGGTTAGAAATTCAGAACCAAAACACCCAAGTTTCAGCACAGTGTTACTCCTGTGTTCTGCAGCACAAATGCCAAGGAGATGCTCTGAACAAGCAATGCACTAAGAAAAGCAATCAGGAGGTTTCAGAATATGCTGAACTTTGGTCCAAGAGATTGAAAGAAAGCCAAAGAAAAATTCCAGGAGAAGATTGCCTAAAGATATTGGTTCTCCTCGCTGCAAACTTCTAATTAATTCTAATTCTGGGTCCAGTCAAGACTGTTTTAAAGAGTAGTAAATAAATAATCAGACCTTGAGAAAGAAGAAAGACAGCTTATTTTAAAACTTTCAAATGAACAGGCAACAGACTACACACACGCTTGCCCAAAAAGAAATAACCAAACTTGAAAAAATAGAAACCACATAGAGTAGTTTTTCACTGAAATAAATAAAACTGAAAACTAAAATATCACTGAAATAAATAAAACTGAAAACTAAAATAACAGAAAATAGCTCTTTGCCTTTCCTCTGCCATCGTGTATCATACGCCTGAGTCAGCTTCTCACCATGTCTTCTCACAAGACTTTCAGAATCAAGCAATTCCTGGCCAAGAAACAAAAGCAAAATCGGCCTATTCCTCAGTGGATTCGGATGAAAACCAATAACAAATTCAGGTACAACTCCAAGAGAAGACACTGGAGGAGAACCAAGCTGGGCCTATAAGGATTCACACAATCGATGGCAAGACTTGAGAGTTTGTACACAATCTATGCTACCAGATGGAGTTCAACATTTTTAACCTAAAGACATTGTCATGTTTAAGTTGGGAATGGTTTGTCCAGTAATAAAAATATAGAGCCTTTCAAACTGAAAACAAAACAGAAAGTAAAAAGAAAAAACTTCTTATCGACTGAAAATGAATATTTCTAAAAATTAAATAGAAAAATCAATATTTTGCATAAACATCTTGACTTTTTAATATAACTTCTTTTCATAACATAAATGGAAATGAGTCAATGTCATCAAAAAAGGCATAGCAAAATGATATTTTTTGGATGAATAAATTAAAACTTGTAGCTTTGATATTTATCTTTAAATGAAAATTATTTATGTAATTAAACACTTAATCAAAAGTGCAAAAATATTGCCAATAACAATAGGGTAGAAATAGATTAACACATGAAAATTATGAATTAAATAAATTACACAAAATACAGCAATTGAGCCTTTTTTCAAAAGGTGTGTGTGTGTGTGTGTGTGTGTGTGTGTGTGTGTGTGTGTGTGTAAAAAGTAGGCATTACACAGTGGATTCTCTGGAGCTGGTGAGTTACAAATGATTGTGAACCTTTGGACATGGATGCTGAGAATTAAATCCCAGTCATCTGCAAGAGCAATATGTGCTCTTAACCACTGAGCCATTGCTCCAGGTTCTCAATGGAACCTTTCCTGTAGTTCCCTTAATGACATGCTAAGATCTGATGGATCTGGTTGTAATGCTTCTCTGGTGTCACACACCTATCAAGTTCTTTGCCTAGGATTTCTTTTTTGTCATGGAACCATTTCCTTTTTTCCAGGACTCTGATATCTACTCTCCATGAGTGTTCTAGTCAAACTTCAAGTGTTAATATAAATATCACTTTCTTAGACATGCCTTTCTTAACCTATCAATACTAGGTCAAAATAGATTGGATTGATTAGGTAGATAGATAGATAGATAGATAGATAGATAGATAGATAGATAGTACATAGGTATATAGGTACATAGATAGAGTCATTGATTTGTGATAAAACTTCAAATACTTATGCTACCTTAAGTGATTGCTTGAAGTGTTATTTATGCTTTTGCTCTTTGCCATAAAACCCTATAGATAAGAACAATATTGATTCTGGGACCCTTCTTTTAGGGTCTAACATGAAGTGGAATCTTTGTATATGTTAGTTGATCGAAGAAGAAAAATGAGACCTGGTGGGCATTAGCTGTGGGGTATGAGTAGTGGGAACAAAAACCTTGAAGTTAAAAGGAAAATGGGCCTAAACCCATTCATACCACCTCACCTTGTAGATTTCCTCATGAGTAAAATGAACAGTGCTCAGACTATAACACTTAAACAAGCACTGAGTGGGACACAAGGTATTTAACCAAGTGCTTCCTCATGGCAGATGCTCAGATGTCCAGTTATTTTATTTCTGTGCTTTCTCTTTTTCTTACAGAATTTTCATACTTAAGTGTTCCCTGCACTTGCCTATGCTCTTCTGGATATAAGCTGTTTACCTTTCAGATAGAACTGAAGTTGTTTGCCATTTGAGGTGCACAGTGGGTGGTGGTATTGCTTCCCTGTCTGGCAGGCCCATCACTTTGCAAGGCCTGGGCTTGTCCTGCTATAGAGCTGGGTCCAAAGACTGCAGTCCTGGACTGAGAGTCCACCTGTGGCTGTGTGGATAGCAATGTGGTGATCCTGGGCAGAGAGTCCCTCTGTGGCTGTGTGGATGTCAATGGGGTGGTCCTGGACAGAGAGTCCACCTGTGGCTGTGTGGATGGCAATGTGGTGGATACTTCTGACTTAACCACTCACTCACTCCTTACTTTCTAAGTCCACAGTATTTCAATTTTCAGAAAAAATAATATTATATGATGAGCTTAATTATTTTTTTTCTTTTACTTTAGATTCACGTGCTTATATTGGTCAAGACTTAGAACAAAATCTACTGTTTTTATTGAATTGAGACTGATCAGAGTGTTAGACATTCCCAGCTGGCTGAGAATATAGTAAGTCTGGTCCACTTTTCCAGGCTTAAAAAGCCTTTGCAAATACTACCATGGCCAAAGAGACTCAGTGAAGGAGAATATCTGGATTTAACATGGACCTTAACTACACCTCTTGCTCTTATTCTAGACTCGTGTTAGCCCCAGGGAAAACCTTGAGAGTATGTCTTTGTTAAAAAGTCAAGCATCATTTTAAGCTAATTGCTCCCTCACCATAACTTAAAGATGATGTCTAAACCTTTAAGAATAAACTCTGAGTCGCTAATTCCTGACACTATTTGCTCTTTGTAAATGTCCCCAGAAGACTTGAACACTATTGCTAATTCCAGTAAGTGTTTTCCTGATCTTGGCTGTGGAGTTAATGTTTAACAAGTTCCAGAGGAACCAATTTCCTGCCTAAGGAAACTTCCTTACCAACTTCCCTAATTATTCCCAGATGCTCATTGCCCTGAGGAATTGCTAGAGCTAAGGAAGGTTGTTAATAGGCCACAGGTGTCAGCTAAATTTAGTTACCAAGGAAACTGTGCAAGAGGAGTGGTCAACCCCAGGAGACTAGGGACTTTATACACATGAATTTCTAGTATACCTGTTTTCTTTTCCCTTTTTTCTTTGGACAAATATGACCAGTGACAGAAAAAAATCAAGACATATATCCCTCCCCTTACAGTTATTGAAAAAATTGTCTACAATCAATTCTCAAGCATGTTAGCTTCATGTTACATCCTTATCATTTCTAAGGAACCCAAAGAAGCTTTTTTTAAATGGAGATTATAGTAATTAATAATTGCTGTGTTAGGAATTTAAAACAGTACTTTTGTAAACCATGTATTTAACTCATGTGAAAATAACAGTAACATGATTATTGTTAATAGAAATAACCGTTTTAGTGGAAATTTGTTATATTTTTAAAAAGCTTAGAATAGTATGATTGTCTCATTTCCATAAATTTATCTAATATCTGGCTTAGTACATAACTAAATTTTCATCTCCATTTCTGAAGTCAATCTCTTATGACATAAGGTATTATGTAGTTTCTGGGAAATTTTACTATACATTCCTGAAAGAATGTAATATGTAAAGCAAATAATATTTTGCTATTACAAAAGTAGTGTTGATATTACAGAACCCCAAACGACACTCGGGGTCTCCGATGGAATGACCAAAACAGAACAGTGATGAAAGCTAACCATTGAATAATTAATAACTTAATCTGAATGAAACAAAAAATGGTACCATAGACTAAGAGAAAGGTTTGCAAATATTAAGAGTGTCTGTGCTCTGAACTTCAAATGTCAACCACATTAAGGCATTATGACTGACAAAGAACTCCAGTCTTCAACAGAAACATATTGTAATGACACCAGTAATGATCTGCCCTACTACTGGTTAAAAGCTAGAAAAACTGAAGCCATACACATAATCCTGCACTTGGGAGTTAGAGACAGGCAGATCTCTATGAATTCAAAGTCAGCCTGGTCTTATATGGTGAGCTTCAAGCCTACATATTGAGAACCTGTCTCAAATAATAATAATAATAATAATAATAATAATAATGCAAAAATACTACATGTGGAGGGCTTAGAACCAGATCTACTAGAGTTTTATCTTGAAAATAAATACAAACCATACCATGTTTATCTTTTTGTGATTGGGTTACTTCACTCAGGATGGTTTCTTCTAGTTCCATCCATTTGGCTGCCAATTTCAAGATTCCATTGTTCTTTTTCTGCTTAGTAGTACTCCATTGTTTAAATATACCACATTTTCTCTATCCATTCCTCAGTTGAGGGACATCTAGGCTGCTTCCAGGTTCTGGCTGTCATGAACATAGGTGAACATATCTCCTTATTGTATGAGTGTGCATTCTTTGGGTATATGCCCAAGAGAGGAATTGTTGGATCTTGAGGTATACTGATTCCCATTATCCTGAGAAACCGCCATACTGATTTCCAAAGTGCTTGTACAAGTTTACACTCCCACCAGCAATGGAGGAGAGTTCCTCTTTCTCCACATCCTCTCCAGCATAGATTGTCATTAGTGTTTTTTATTTTAGCCATTCTGATAGGAGTAAGATGGTATCTCAGAGTTGTTTTGATTTGCATTTCCCTGGTGGTTAAGGATGTTGAGCACTTTCTCAAGTGTCTTTCAGTCATTTTGGACTCCTGTGTTGAGAATTCTCTATTTAGTTCTGCACTCCAACTTTTAATTGCATTGTTTGGTGTTTTGGTGGCTAGCTTCTTGAGTTCATTGTATATTTTGATGATCAGCCCTCTGTCAGATGTGGGGTTGGTGAAGATCTTTTCCCATTCTGTGGGCTGCTGTTTTGTCTTGCTGACTGTGTTCTTTGCCTTACAGAAGCTTCTCAGTTTCAGGAGGTCCCATTTATTAATTGTAGATCTCAATGTTTGTGCTACTGGTGTTATGTTCAGATAT